ATTTTATCTTTTCCATTCATGTTTAACCGATAAGGGTATATTTAGTCAATTGTCAGAGACAATAAGGATAGAATTAGTAAATTAGATAAACCATAAAGTTAATTTAAGAAATTTACCCTTGAAAAATTCCATGATTTTGTTTTAAAAGAGGAAACCCTATTATTGTAAGCATCAATAAAATGACTGTAATACCTAAAAAATTAGATGTTGCATGAAATTCAATTCCTTATAAAGTTCAAGTGTTCACTATTTTGCGTAGTTTTCCCAAATCTTGAGAAAAAGTAGTTATAACCCTTAACCAATTTGAACAAACCATTACTATGTTACCTATGTTATTTGTTGTAAAGGTTGAGAGAAGGAATAGAAAGAATAACTCTTAAGCCTTAATTACTAAACCAACAAAATTAGGTGGCAAAACCAATCCCAAATTTCTAAAAGAAAATGATAAATGTTTTGTAAAGAAGACATGATTTAATAAAGGAAAAAAATAAAGTGATATGTTTCAATTGTGGTAATCCGAGACACACCAAATATCAATGCTCTTGCAAAAAATGAAAGCCTAATAATAACACCAAGGACATAGTTTGTATAATTTTCGAGACATTGATTGTTGATTCCAGTCATCCCAACATGTTATAAGATCAAAAGAGGTCTTCTTTGACTTTTAAAGACATGGACCTAGGGTAGCACAAATTATTTATGGAAAATAATTTACATTGTAAAGTTTTAAGAGTGAGGCCTGTAAAAATCCTTATAGGATAAATCTTATTTTGTCTGATGCTTTATATGTTCCTAGCCTTAGGCATCTGATGCTTTGTATGCTTTGAAATATGTTTCATGACAATGAAGGTACCTGTAAGATGTGGGACAATGGTTTTATATTGTCTATCTATTAATAATAATATTTCCAACGTTTTTATTTATATTGATAATGTATTATCTATTTATATAGGTTCCAACCAATGCCATTTAAAGTTTGGTTATAAAGATAAAGACAAGTTGAAAAAGATATGTGATAATGACTTATTACCTAATATAGATTTCATGAATTATTAGTTGTATCACCATCATGTGCATCATACTAGAAGCTAACTAAAGAACCACTCTAAGTTAAATATTTTTTTCCCTTTTAATTCATTTAATCATGAATTATATTGGACTTTGTAACTTGGGGGAATTAATAATTATGATATTTTTGTTTATCGAGGTTAATTTATCCCCTTCTTTTTTTCTAAGTACTGAGGTTATGTAGTAAAATTACAAGGTTTATCATTTGTGAGTTAATTGGAGTTGCATTTGATTTGTCTACCTTCTATTGTATGTATCACTTTACCAAATCTAACATGAGATAATCGTAAAATTTTTTACAATAACCTTGGAAAATGTATTTTTATGTCATACTTTGGAAAAATGAGAAGATGATGCTTATAGAAGACATCTAGTATATTTGATCATTTACTAAACTTGAATAAGCAATAATAGTTACTCTTTCATAGTGAATCAATTATTTTTGCCAAAAATAGAAAAGAGGTTATGCAAAGAAAAGTTTCTTAACTAAATCCTAACAATGTACTTGATTAAACAAATAAAATTAAGTCATTTTTACAATATGGCCAATAAAAAGATTCATACATGAAATATCAAAATTTTGCAAATCACAATTTCTGGTTGAAGAACTATATAGAAATCACACATAGACTATATCTATGAAATTAAATGTGAAAATATACTATTTTTTTGAATTTTAAGAAACTCATTTTTTTGTGAGAAATACTATGAATATGGTATATTTTTTCCCATTTAGAATTGTTAAAACTGAACTCACATTGAACAATTTGAATGACAGGAGTTCAAATATTTAATATATGCATATCTCCACATAATGAAAAAAAAAAAACAAACAATGGTTGAACTCTTGAAAAGAAAATTTTATGGCAAAATAATTGATATATTATGTTATTTCTTTTGAAATTAAAACTCTTAGATATTTACGTTGTTATCATAACCAAATATTAAACCAACCAATACATTTGTCCTTTTTTTATTAAAATAGAAGGAATTGAAAATAAATTTATGTCTTAGCAGTTGAAAGCCTTTCTTTGTAACTATATGATAGGTTAATTTGTTCTTTAGATAATGAGAATCAACTTTCAAATAAATAGGCATACATAAAATAATGTAAGCTTTTAAAAGGCTACAATGTTGTAGACCTATGATTGTGATGGTCTTTTAAATGATTTTGTGGGAAAACAAAATATTGGAAAATTCTTATTTTGAAGAAGATGTGGATTTCATTGTTGAATACAGGTCACACTATAGAAAACTGTATGAAGAGTGACGAAATTGAATATCAACATTATAGAAACTAGCCTGTTAAAGAAGTAAATTATGAACATTATTTATGAAGTTTACCCTTTTTAGACATAAATTATAATAAAAATTACAGAAAAACAAAGACCTATATATTATTAACTATATAACCAGTTTGGAACAACAAGAACTGGTCCCAACTTGATTAATTGAGACACACCATACAACTAGAACTAACATAATTTGTTCAGTCAAATTCGGTTTTATCAAATATATCCAATCCATTGGATTTTCAAAGAAACCCAAAGCCTCCAAAATTGGCATGTCTGTGTTGATGATTTGTGTTTATTTTAAACTTCACATATTTTTTGTTTTTTATGAACATATTTTGATAGAAGCCAATACAACGTATACTCCAAAATAACAAGAAGACTAATAGATAAAGAAAGCTTTTATTTTCTAAATCATCTCTAATTTCTATTTTCTCCTAAATTATCTCTAATTTAGTAGAGTTTCTCTCCTAAATTATCTCTAATTTAGTAGAGTTTCTCTCCTAAATTATCTATATTTCATATTTATCTTCTCCCCAACTTTTTATCAAAATCTATCTAAAGAAAGCTTGAATAAAAAATAATAATTATTTAAATATAATAACAAAATTATGTAACACTTTAAAATATTTATTCAAAAACACAAAAAAATAATTATAATAGATTTAATAATGTTCAGATTATTAATAATTTTATATTTTAGGAAATTCATAATGTAATAACAATATAAATTATTATTTTATTCATTATTCTATTTAATAACTAAATAATATTTTAAATTTTAAAGAACAAAATTTTTTAAATAACTAAATACTAAAATAGATAAATATTTATATAAAAATATTTAATATTACACAATAAACTTAAAATAAATAAAACTTCAATAACAAACAATTATTTATATTTTACATACTTTTTAAATACTTCAATAACGGATTATTTAACATGACTAAATTTTAAATTGTTAAAATAACGAAATTATGTAATAAATTTAAAAATTTTCTTAAAATTAGAAAAATAATTATATTAGATTTCATAATAATCAAATTAATAACAATTTTATATTATACAGAATTCATAACAAAATAATGTAAAAATAGTACAAATTTACCATTATGGATAACTAAATTCAATACATAATTAATATTTTAAAATTTTAGTTAATGATACTTTTTACATAACTAAATAATATTGTAAATAACTAATTTAAAAAATATAAAATGTTATTGAAATATAAATTTAAAAATATTTGATAATAAGTATATAAAATATAAATAAGTGAAACAAATAAATATTATTGAAATAATGAAAAAATAGATTAAATAGTTTAGAGGTATCAAAGCTTCCAAATGATAAATTTATGTACTAACTTTTAAAAAATATATTTTTTATTGATATTACAAAATAGAATAATAATTGCAATTATTAATATAATAATAATGAAGACATTATTGTATCAACTAATAATTCTACAAAATAACTTTCAAAAGAAATAATATTTTTTAATAATAACTTTAAAACCGTTATCTGTATTTATTATATATTTATATATACTGAAATTAACATGTATTGTATTTTTAGTAATTATTTAATTTATTTTTGTAATAATATATTTTCAATAATTATGTATTAATATTTTTGTTTCTTGTTGGATTTATTGTAGTTTTGTTATAAATTTATTTTTAATAATTATTTATTTTCATTATAATTTGTTGATTAATATTTATTAGGGATTAAATTATAATTGGAGATTACATAATTTATTGACTAATTTAATATATTTTCAGTGTTTATTGTCTTTTCATTATAAATTTTATTTTCAACAATTTTATATTTTATCTATTAATTTTTCAATAATTATTGAATATTAAACTATTGTTATTTATTAGAGGTTACCCAACAAAACCGACCTGCTCAGGTTGGGGGAGTTGGTCACCTGAATCCAACTGACCATTAATAAATACTAGCCAACTTGGGATGTATCGATTTGAGTCGGTTGGTTCAAACGATTTAAATTTAAAAAATGATAATGGTATTATTAAAAAATAAATTAAAATTTTAAATTTATTTTGGGAAACTAGAAATGGCGCCTCTTGCACGAAAAAGTAAGCGAAGCTATTCCTAGAAATGGCACTTCTTGCCAAACGGTATGTGTACTGTCAAGATCTTTATGTAAAAGCCAACTACATCTTTTGAGTGTCAAATCTTCCCGAAGATCTTTCAAAAACGACTTACCAAACGACACCTTAGAAGTTGCATGGATGAGTACAGATCTACATATATAAATTTATACTATAGAAGTACACTGCTACTTGAAACGTACCATGAGCTATTTTGAAATTTGTTATAAACTCCATTAGCATGTGGATGAGGATAAATTCAACAGTCTTACAAACCCAATTGGTAGATGGAGTGTCTACTTTGGTTACGAGTCGACGGCACCAGATGTAATAAGGGAATAGCAGTGGAACAAACAATGTTATGTAAATAGTACTAATCATAGTTTTATAAGGGATTCACAATAGTTGCAGAAATTACCAAGTTTCTTTTACACCAGATGACCACACCCTAATGGAAAAGAACAAAAAAAAAAAAAAAAAGAAAGAACAGATCAAACATAAACAAAGATAATTTCAACGATCAAAAAGGACCTGTATGATCGAGTTGCTTGCACAGTCCAAGATAAGTGAGATAAAGAACCCGATCTTTAGCACCTGTACGATGATTCTTGGTGTGTTTACAAAAGTATTTCAGTTGATCCATACTGCAACACCCGAGCATCTGTCCAAGAAACAGGAAAAGCCAATTGATTTTCCTTTTCTTCCGATCTATAATGGGCTTGGCGCTATTGACCTGCTCACAATACCTACATGTGGGGAGCAGTGGATTCATCCATTCTCTAGGAGCCCGGTCGTGCATCGTGCTCTTCTTTGCTGTGATGAATGCTGCAACCTCTGTGAATTTGCTTTCAAGCTGGAACTCCATTTCATAGTGGCTTTCGCATCTCTTGCATTTTACTTTCCCCGGTATAGCGTGGATGCCCATGGATAAGAGTTTGTAAAGACTGTGCACAGTGGCGGGGTGGTTGGTTGCCCATGGATAAGGAGGGGTGATGACTTTGCTCTTTCCGCCATGAAGAGCTTGTGTAGGATTACATCGAGGTCGAGTGCGTGAGGGACGGGAAGGACCAGGCTCTTGACGGTCTAGTAGTGTTGACACTGAAAGCCCAATGACAAATGTAGGAATATACAGAGGGGGTGGTGGAGGCGGTGGCGGTGGTGGTGGTGGTGGTGGTGTTGACATGCGTAGTGGTGACTTACTTGGTTGCGGTTGCGGTTTTGGTTGCTGCTTTAATGGTGGCGGTGGCCTAGGTTTGGTTGAAGGAGGAGAGAGGGTTAGAGCAAGACCATCGTCATCAAAGGGCTGCCGGTGATGGATATCTTAAGTATTAATTCTTCCACTTTCTCAGCATATATTGTCCATCCATTAATGTGTAGGGTTTGAATCTCAAGAGAAACAATTTGAAAACCTAAGAATTAATTACTGAAAGCTCTGTAAAGAAGATAGAAAGAAAGAGGGAAAACCTAAGAATTAACACCAAGACACTGAGATATATAGATGAATTAGAGCAGAAGATTAGAACAATGCAAGAGCCAAAAGCAACACTAGTCGAGGTCAAATATCTTTCTCACCAATCATTTTGTATTAAAAAATATCAACAAAGAGCCGCGTATTCATATGCATGTCAATGGAAATCCCACACTGTCACTGTAGCATTTGTTAGCAGCACTAAATTCGGTGTTTCTTACTGCTTCCAACAGGACAGTGATGTGACAGTGGATAATGGGTAGAAATACATAAAATATTTTTTGGAGCATTGCTACCAAACAGAAAAAGTTACTGTTGTTCCAGAAAACATCCTACCTTACGGCAATGATTTCAAACAAAAAAAGGCAACGTTTTTTAAGAAAACAGTGCTCCAATCCACACATCAGTAGAAAAAACGATACTACTGTTGCAGTATTGATGCCAAACATATACATAGTTTTATCACTGATCTGGTGTTTGTTTTGAGTTATTTTTGGGAGCGAAATTCACTTTTGCTCTTTGGTTGACATTTAGCTTTTTTTTCTTTCTTTTTTTTTTATGGTTTTGCTCCTAAGTCATGTCACGTCTCTAGTTTGTTGTTATAGGAGGTGATTTGGCTTAGTTTTTTTAGGAAGTAGTTGTTATTCTGATTCGGATTCCATTCTCTCTAGGACTCCACTGAACTTATTCCTTTTTATCTTTTATATATATATACTTGTCAAAAGAAATTTAAAGCATATCCAAGCAAAGAAAAAATAGAGAGGTACAAAGTAAATGTACCTTTCATTATTGTTGTATAAATGATATTAAGAGTTTTTGTAAGTTTATTAACTATGAGAAATGTGTTGTGGATAAAGATTAATGCCTATCAAATTTACTTTATGGGATCATTTCGCAACCAATGTTGATCTGTATATATCAGAAATGAGAAAAATGTCACAGTTGCTATTAGAAATTGTGCAAATTGTGAAGGTGGTTCATCTTATTTATATTTCTTATAGTTCTTAAACTATATAAACTTTTCATGCTTATGTACAAATAAATTAGAATAGGACAAACCATTATTACAGTTATCGATAATATAAAGTTATTTTTCAATCCTTGCATTGAAAAGGAATATGATATTCTATCAAGATAAAAGTATTTTAATAAGTAATTAAATTTATAATAGTATAATATTTTATATTATATTTCTTACTAAATTTGTAATTTAATGAATAGTAAATTTTTTTATTACAATAGTTGAAAAATAATATTTGTTGTTGATCTAAATTATTAATGATCATGGATTATACATTCTCTGTGATATAATGTTTATCTTTACTTCATATTTATTTCTCCCTCATAATGGGTATATTCCTTTTAATCTTTTCTTCATATCATTTTCTTCTTCATATTATGTTGCTTTTATATCATATGTTCATTTTACATCACCCTCACTTAACATAGCTTGTGAATTGCATAAATCCTAATATCATGTCCCAAGTAAAGGGGACACCGGTGATACTTTAATACGTTAATTCAATTTACTTACTAAACTCAATTCATTTAACACATTCTAAGTATTTAAATAAACACAAAGACATACATGCATTAACTCATATCATAGATAATTAAACGGAAAAGAAAAAGGTAAATAAAAATTTATAATAAATGATTAAACATTTAATACAAATGTCAAAAACAAACTTCAGGCATAAGGCTGATTTTTTCCATACGTAGTGCAGGATCATTCACTAGTGTAATAATAAAACAAAGAAAAAGAGGGGTTCAGGCTCATTCACTATTTCTAAAGCCAATGCTCACTCTAAAAAGAAAAAGGGAAAAGGGGTTCAGGCTCACAAGAAAGCTATATCGTTAATTGGGTCGTTTTTGAATGGGGGATATCTAGGTGGATTACTGACTGTTGCAATCCAAGATCATTAAAAGAGGGAATTCACAATTGAAATGGTACAAGTAAACACTAAAATTAAAGGATCTCAGTTCAAGCCACACCCAAACAGATGCTTTGATCTTGAAGATAAGCATCTCACAGCTGAGTCCTTGAGTACAGACGGTAAAGGGTCAGGAAGATAAGTTCCAGACAACAAACAAGATCGTCTTCAGTGTCTACAAATGCATGCCAAAATGGTTTTAGGTTGATTTTAATGGAAGGAAAGGAGGCCCAATCCATGAAGTTTTTTTAGGCTAAAGCTCCCTCAACTTTCAGCCTATCTATATATCACCATTCAGATTATAAGTGTCTGAGGTATGGGACCCTCGATCACGATATGGATGCTTCCATGAGAGGTCCTCAAGCTTCTCATTAATCTTGTATGGAGAGGTTTGCTACTCCAATCCTACTTTTGGTTAAAGAAATTAGCCCCATTTGGTTAACGGGAATAGGGATATGGAATTGGAATCAGAATGGGTTATTCTGATTCCAATTGATTGGTTGGGCGGAATCGGAATCGGAATTCCATTCCCATTCCTGCTGGAATGGCATTCTCCATTTGATGGAATGGCCATTCCCTGTCCCTCCCTTAGAAATGAAATCTCATTTCTATTGATTTTAATTCTCATTCCTATTCCTATCTAAACCAAATAGACTATGAGAATGGATCATTCCGATTCTGATTCTACAGAATTTCATTTCCAATTCGGATTCTGATTCTGACTGCAAACCAAATAAACCCTTAATACACAATGGTATTAGTATTGGAAGGAAAAACTGTTGACTTTAGGGTTTTGTACCCAGTCCCACCGGCAGCATACAAAGATGTATATAATATATGATGTAAGAGCAAAAGAAAGAAATAAATAACAACTCTTCAAGAAAAGCTACAAGATGAGAGCGACATCGAGATTCTTGAATGGGGTTGCGTGAAGGTTCAGTCTTAGAATTCATCTACACTTATTGATTTTAATTTACAGTAGTCCAATACATGGGGAGACGAGAAGAGAAAGAAAGAGGAAAGAACGTACCCGATCTGAGGATGTTTAGAACTTTGTTACTCGCCCACAAGAAGAAAGGCTGTTACATTCCCTCGATCGTCCAATACGGCATCGATGTGTATCAGTGTAAGTGAAGAGTCACAGTGCCGATGTGTATCAGTAAAAGAGAAGTCATAGCGTTGAGCATTTGAGTCATGTTAGGACTCTAAGCCTCATCCAGAACTCTGCGATTAGTGGGCTAACTGGGTTTTAATATGGATTACTAATCGAAACAATTATTTAATCATAACTCATAACTAACACTTCCATTAGTTATGGCATAAGATTAGTGAGTAAAAGAACAGTTTTTTTCTTAGAAAAAATGTCGGAGGATCATAACTCATAACTAACACTTCCATTAGTTATGGCATAAGATTAGAATTTAAACAAGAGGTGCCATTAATTAATTGGCTTAATAGAATACATTAGTTAGTAGGAAATCCCGACTCAATCCCAACAACCCTATAATTGTGGTGAAAGAATCAGTTTGAACTTTGAAGCACCTCCACCTCTTCATTTGTTTCTATTTACCTCATCAACGCACAAGAAAGGAAAATTGGTGAAAGACAGTTTTTGTCATTATAGCATTATCACTAGTGGCGACCTGCATATGATGCACGGGCTTTGTTAAGCGGAAGCGAAACAATAAAAACATAAGAGTAGACTTTTTTCTTTTTGGTTTTGAAAAAAAACTATTAATTTCACTAATAAATTTTGTAATTTATTGATAATTTTTTAATATTAAATATAAGAGAAAGTAACAATATTTTCATCATTTATAGTAATTTATTATTTATTAATAAGTTTCTGGTAGTTTATTAATAATTTTCTAGTAAATATTGGTTTTCTCACTAATTACTATTGCTGAAATAATTTCTATTAATTAACTAAAAAATTATTTCCACTAATCACTACAAATTTGTAACAATTACTAATTACTATTTTTTAACTGTTAATTAACTAAGACAAAATTACTTGTCATATTCTAACCGAATTTTCAAATAAATAAACAACAATTTTGAAATAACAAAAAATTTCAAAAGACAAAATGCACAAATTTAAATGAAATAAATTCAATTAGAAACAGTCATAAAATATGGTTAAAATATTACAGTAATTTATTCAAATATTACTGTTAATATGAATAAATTATTGATATATTTCACTAATTACAGATAATTAACAGTAAGTAAGAAAAATTGTTAATTATTAATAACTTTCATTAATAATATATTAATGACCGTAATTAATTATTATATATTCATAAAAGTACCCATAATTTTCAATAATTGGAAATTATTAAATATTACTATATATTCATACCCTTAATTACTGAAAGTTATTACATATTTTCCTTATTTAATCAAATTATCTAATCTATTTTTATTTATTTATTTAATATTTAATCAGGTTTAACTTATTTAATTATTATGTATTTATTTACGAATATTTCTATTTTAATTTTTATAAAACATTATTAATTATTTATATATAGATGTCTATATTATGATATTTTTAATCAATGTTTATATAAACGATGAATTACATTTATTATTGTTATTATTTAAATTCTCTATAAAATTTATTAACTGTTGTGAAATAAATTGTTATATATTAAATTTAATATCAATAATTGCTACTGTAGAAGTTATTAAATTTAATCAAAATTTCTAATCCATTTAGCATAATTTAAATAATATTTACATTATGCTTAATTGAGTTATTAATTATTGCATGTTTTT